AGTTGGAAGGAAACAGAGTTTATTTGGTGTCTGTGGGCAAGATGAGGCTAGATTTTCATATAAATGAGGAAAGTGGCTGTCTGCCCCATGAGCTGACTTCAGTAATGCAAGGCATACCCACCTTTCCCCCACCAGCAATCTGCCCTAATGAAGTCTGTTATAGAAATTCTCTCTTTTAGTTTTTTAGTGTTTTTCCCTCATATGTATTTCCTTTTAAATGCAAATACTCCTGAAAAAGGGATATCAGTGACTAACTGGCAAGTGGCTGGCAGGAGGTGATTAGATGGGGGATAGAAAGGCCTGGAGATTCCAAAGTAGAGGGCACTTAAACATTTATTATATTTTGCCAGTTATAAAAGTAATATATGTTCAGTATAGAAACTTGGAGCCCTGGTGGCACAGTGTTAAGAGCTCGGCTGCTAACCAAAAGGTTGGCAGTTCGAATCTACCAGCTGCTCCTTGGAAACCCTATGGGGCGGTTCTGCTCTGTCCTGTAGGGTCAAACTTGGAAAAATGTGGAGAAGAAAATAAAAATCCCATAAGCCCACCACCCACAGATAAGTATTTTTACTGTATTAGTGCATTTTCCTTCTCTTATACATAATAATATTCCAACTGAGTTTAGCCTACTTTTGTTTACATGTCATAGTTTTTCATTTAAAGCTCTTGTCAGCTTCATTTCTTTTCTGTCAGCATCATTTTCAGGGATTGTATACATTTCATATAGTGGGTGTACAGTAATTCAGTTAGATGGTTAAGCTGTTCCCAGTTGAGTTTTTTAATTTCAAAGAAATCATTTTGTTACCAGCCCTCTCTAGGGGGCTTCTTGCCTAGAGACTGTTGGAAAAAAGAGTCTTTTGGCAGGGGGCTAGTCAGGAACTGTGTAGCAGAGCCCCCTGTACTGGGGCCTTGAAGAACCGTGATAGCCTGCCTCTGCATGCAAATCAAGGGAGGATGACCACCGTTGAACTGATGATGGAGGCGCTGTTCACCCCTTTCTCCTAAACCAATGTACTGAAGGGAAAGGGAGGCCCAGAAGACAGAGTGGGGAATGAGAAGGAATGAAATCACTCATTGTACCTTTGAGTCTGTTCCGGGAGGGAAAAGAGGTTTAAATTGAATGTTTGATTGAAGTTTTAAACTGGTGAAACTGACCTGGAATGGACTTTTGTTAATACTTGAAAGTTACTGGAAAGCTAAAGAAACTGGTTGAGATGTTTGGAGACAGTAAAGGCATATTCTGGATAGCAAACTGAAAGTAGTGATTGGAGAGAAAAAAGTTAAGCCATTTCTTGTTTGAGTTCCACCAAGTTCACACTAAACATAGGAGTTAGCATTTCATAACTGCTTTAATAAGGTTTTCTTTGAAACCGTCCTCTGAAGAATATCTTATTTATTCACCCTAGTTAAGAATTTCTTCAAGATCTCTCTATTTTCTTTTGTTTGGTTGTTTTCTTTGCTTGTCAAAAACTGAGTGGTTTAGCCAGGGATGGGAGGGAGGTGGGAAGGGGAGTTACTGCTTATGGAGTATTGAGTTTTGGTTTATGGTGGTGGAAAAATTGCATTGATTAAGGGTAGGGTTACACAGCTGATTAATGTAATTGTTGTCAGTAAATTGTACACCGGTAAAAAGTTGAATTGGCAAAAGTTGTGTGATAGATATATTTACAGCAGCGACCAAAAAAAGTATCTGCTGAGGCTGCTTAGGTACAGCCAAACACTTCATGGGATTTGGTTCCTTGGTTTGAAGGTTTAGGGTCCTGATTTCATGGGACATCCCAGTTAATTGGCCTAATAACATGTTTAGTGGTCCTGTTATACCACCTAGATCAAGGTGTAGTGCCTGGGGTCTTAAAAGCTTGCAAGTGGCCATCCAAGGCACGACAGTTGGTCTCTGCCTGGAGCAACAGAGGAAGAAGGAGAGTCAGGAATAGGAGGAGTACATGGAATATGTGGCAATTGCCTCCATGAACAGCTGCCTCCTTTGCCATGAAACCAGAAGAACTGGATGGTGGCTGGCTACCATTACTGAACATTTTGATCAAAGATTCTACAGAAGAATTCTGACCAAAAAGGGGGAGATGCAGAATAGAATTCCAAACTTTCATAGAGTCCAGATTTTCTGGAGCCAGGGAGACTGGATGAATCTCTGAAACTACTGCCCTGAGATAATCTTTAAACTTTAGACCAAAAATAGCCCCTGAAGTCTTTTTAAAACCAAATGATAGTTTAGCTTAACTAGTAAAGCATGTCAGCCTCCAGCATTATGCTCTTTTAAGAACTATCTATATGGGATCAAATTGCTAACAGCAACTCAAAAGATTAGAAACCTTTGGAGGGACAGTGAATTTATGTTAATGGAGGAGAACAACTCAGAAAAGGAGAGAATGGTTGTACAGTTCAAAGAATATAATCAGTGTCACTGAATTGTACATGTGGAAACTGTTGGTGTACCTTCTGCTGTATATATTGTCAACAACAATTAAAAAAAAAACTGAGTAGTTTATTAATGTCTCTCCCAACAATTATTTCTGTCCTTTTTATCCTGCATTTCTGAGTTTTTCCTTTACATATTTTATATTGGTTATTTGGGTTTATCACTATTATAACTTTATTTTGAATTGTGCCTTCTCCTTGAATCATAATTATCCCCTAAGTATAAATCTTCCCTAAACATTGAATTGTCAAGGTAAGGTTTCTTCATCTGCTATTTACAAGGCACTTTTTTCAGTATAATTCCCAGTCAGAACTTTTGCTCCCTATTATGAAAATGTTCACTCAGACTTCTAGTATCAGTTGTCTGTGATAAGAAGGATTACCTGTATTTGAATTTTTCTTAATTCTCTAGACCGTTTCCTGTCTGTTATAATAAATAGTAACCAGAAATCACATTTTTCTTGTAAGCGTATGCCTAGAAAAGCTAATTTTATCCAAAATTAAGTACGTACTTAAAAAAATTTATAAGCAGTGTTATAATAGAAAAACATTTTTTTAACCTTTTTTAGATCTAAATATCAGCCCAATACAGATGGTACCACTCCTCTTTCTTCTGTAGTTCTTAAGGCCAAATTTCTCACATTCTTCTCACTCTGATACATGGATGACTAGGGTTTAAGGAATCCTGGTGGCGCAGTGGTTAAGTGCTTGGCTGCTAACCAAAAGGTTGTGGCTTGAACCCACCGGGCACTCTGTGGGAGAAAGATGTGGCAATCTGCTTCCGAAAGATATGCAGCCTTGGAAACCCTATGGGACGGTTCTATTCTGTCCTACAGGGTGGCTATGAGTCAGAGTCAACTCAATAGCAGTGGGTTTAGTTTTTTTTTTTTTTTGGTTAGTGACCATCAGACAGATGTATGCAAAACAGTTTTGCTAATCTGCTAAAATGAGTTTTTAATTATGTTCCAATCTGTGCTTTTAATTATCCTAGTTGTCACTTGAATAAATCAACCTCTGGTGTACTTGTGCTGTGTGCTCCCTTCTCTTGAGATCCTTCTACATTTTACTGTGCACACAAACCACTGCGGATCTTGTTATAATGCAGATTCTGATTCAGTAGGCCTGGGAGTGATGAGGGGTCAAAATCCGACATTTGAAACAGGTTCCCAGGTGGTGACGATGCTGCAGGCCTTTGGAGCACACTTTGAATAGCAAGGGTGGTTTTGGGAACAGAAGCCAGGCACAGCCTATTGAGGCCATTTCTTGTTATGATAACTTTATACCTGCCTGGTTTGTTAGAAACGAGTATTTTTCCAGTGGGGATGTACATGTTAAATTTTAACTTACAGTATGTGAACTTTTCTGTCATGCCTGTGTTCTACAGTGTTGCTGTTTATAAAGACTGGTAACATACCAGTGATGATGATGTAGTAAAAGTTAAATACGTTGACTCCTATTATGTGTCCAGATTCTGTGCTTTACAAGTGTTGACTAAATTTTCTCAACAAAAACATGAAGTAGACATTATTGTTATCCCTATAGGAGACTGAGTAGCAAGTTTAGTGACTTGCTCATGATTACACAACCAGAAGGTGACAGAGCTAGGATTTCAACCGGCTAGTCTGACTCTAGAACCAGTACCTTTAATAATTTGTCACTATTCTGATGACAGTCCCCAAACTACAGAATTCATATAATATCTATATGAATTTTCTAGCTTATTACCCAAAAGGTCTTCGAAGAGCACTTTTCTTCTTACGTTTTCTTCTCTTTTAGGCAAATTTATGGGGTTTCTGTGAGTCAGAATTGACTCAATGGCAATGGGTTTGGGTTTTTTGTTTGTTTTAGGCAAAGATGCTTAGAGGCTTTCCCGTAGATACTGATGATTTGTGACTCATTACCAGTTTCTTTTTTTTGGGTCTTTAATTCTGCATCTGTGTTTAGAGAAGAATATCTCAACTTTCATGTTCCTTTGATGTGAAAGTTCGTGAAGATTGAAAAATCAATAGCCCTGAATGAAAGGAAAAATTGTTCTTAGTAATGTTGAGACTGTCTTTTGAAAAAGAGTAGCCCAAGAAAACATCAGATTTTGCAGGCTTGTCAAAAAAGACTGGTTGATTCTTTTGTATGTTCTTAAAACTTTGATTTTTTTTCTTTATCCAAATGGTAATTATAATCTAGTGGATAGTGTGTAGGCATACTTTCCACTCAGTTCCGTCAAATCAACAAATGATCTCTGAGAAGCCAAGGAACCTTTCTGCTCTAGCTTCTCAGCCTGTCAGATGTTGACAATGTGTGTGGTACTTGAACCCCTTTCTGTCAGCGTGTTAAGGAGAAAGGAACAAAGGGAGATTATTTCTAAGTACGCAGGCATTTGTGAAAATGAGGGAAAGCTGTTTAGGATTAGAAAGGTGCGTTAGTTTAATTTGGAAGTCAATAAGCAGAAAAAGTCATGATAAATAACAAATGGCTTGTTACTCATCTCAGTATGAGGCCGTTTTCTTTCATTATCATTGAACATTTCATTATAATGTTCAAGAAACATTGTACTGTTTCTTTTACAGTCCATCAATATTATGGAACTGACTTTACAGAAATACGGAAGTTATGAGAAATTTGAACAGGCCACTGGTGGTAGTCTGCTATCCAAAACTCGAATCTGGAGTCATGTTAGGAAGTACATGATGAAAGAAGGCTGCCTGGGTGAGGTGAGTCTCGTGGGAACACGAGTGACTGTGACATTTTAACTCTCTGTCAGTGCCACATTTTTTTTCCTGCAGGTTTTGCTTTCCAAACCCTACTCATTAAATTTGTCACCCTGATTCTCACTGAATACTGTACACCTAAGTTCCTGTTGCATAGAATTGTTTTGTTGTGCTCACTGTCTTCCTTTTCTTTTCTTACTGCTGTTTCAGTATAGCCTGTGGGGTTATGTGAATTGTTTTATGAGAATTATTAATAAAGATATTTTCCCCAGTGGCCTCTCTTATTAATAGTAAGTTCTTAGTAGTCAGTCACAAAATAAGCCTTAACCACTTGCAGTGAACAGGACTCGCTTCTGTACCTTCCTTTGCATGATTTTAGCCAGGGACTGTATTTGAGAACACACCAGGGGTACAATTCTAAGTCCTTGGTGTCTTCCTCAGCACAGCCCTCTACTTTTCTTACAGCCTGTTGTAGTCATCTAGTGCTGCTATAACAGAAATAACCACAAGTGCATGGCTTTTAACAAAGAGAAATTTATTCTCTCACAGTCAAGTAAGCTAGAAGTCCAAATTCAAGGCATCAGCTCCAGGGAAAGGTTTTGTCTCTCTGTTGGCTCTGGAGGAAGGTCTTTGTGATGCATCAGTCTTCCCTTGGTCTGGGAGCATCTCAGCGCAGGAACCTGAGGTTCAAAGGATGTGCTCTGCTCCCAGCATTGCTTTCTTGGTGGTATAAGGTTCCCACGTGTCTCTGCTTGCTTCTCTCTTTTATATTTCAAAAGAGATTGGCTTAAGACACTATCTAGTTTTGTAGACCTCATCAGTATAACTTCTGCTAATCCATTTTATTACATCATAGTGATAGAGTTTACAACACATAGGGAAATCACATCAGATGATAAAATGGTAGACAGTCATACAATACTGGGAATCATGACCTAGCCTAGTTGGCAGACATTTTTGGGGGGGACACAGTTCAATCCATGACACAAGCCAATAAAAGTTCTTGGGTTCCCAAAGACTTGAAATCGGAACAGTCAAAGGTGATTGGCTCTACATTTTGTCCTCTTGGTTTCAGGGAGATTCAGGGTGGTTGTAAACAAACAAACAAAAGTGTTAATTTATAGGTCCATTGTTTTCAGTGAAAGCTTTTTCCCCTCTCCTTTGTATTTTATTTTATATAAATGTATTTTCTTCTTGCTCCTTAGATTGTAGTTCATCTCACTGAGGACTTGCTGTCCCGAGCTTCAATGACAGTAGTAAATGGGTGTCCAACCCTGACCATCAATGTTTCCACTGCACGTGAGCACTGGCTGGAGGGAATGCTGAGGCATGAAATAGGTAAGGGCAACCCTGTTCCATTTGCTCATTTGTAATATCAGGAATTAGCTTTAAGGAAATTTTTTTTTTTTAAAGATTTTTTTTTTAGTACTATTTGGCAAAAAGTCATGAATTGAGTAAGTTTCACTTGGACTGAAGTTAATATATTAATGTATCATTTCAAATTAGATTTTTTTAGGGCACTGTTTAGCTTTATTAAGCTTGGAAAATCATTTAACCTCTGGATTTCAGTTCCCCCACCTTAACTCCATAGAGTTGAATTAAGTGCCAAGATTCTTTTCAAATGTTAAGTCTATGATTCTTTCCTTTAAAAAAGTAAATCATTATAAAGTTTATACCTCCTCTATTATACCTCCTCTAATGAGACATGGGATCCTTCTGAAGGCTAGTACTCTTTCAGACCCAAAAGTCTTTAGGATCAGGTCATTTTCTACTTGGTTTTGATTTGGAGGCAACATCAGATGGATTTTAGAATTTGCTGATGGAGTCTTTCTTTGGAGGAGAATTAAAACAAGAATGGCATTTCTTGTGATTTAGGCACTTTTCTCCTCCACAGGCACACATTATTTTCGAGGTATTAACAACCTCCAGCAGCCATGGAACAGTTGGACTGGCCGTAAAAAACATGAGCTGAAACCAAACAACCCCACGGAGGAAGGACTGGCAAGTATTCACAGTGTCCTGTTTAGAAAAGACCCCTTTTTATGGAGAGCTGCCCTCCTCTACTATACTGTCTATCAAGCCAGCCAAATGTCTTTTTGCGAACTCTTCAGAGATATTGGGAAGTTTGTGAAGGACCCCAATACAAGATGGGATTATTGCGTACGAGCCAAGAGGGGTTGGACTGATACTTCCCAACCAGGTAGGTGTCTCTGACTAGGTTTTCTGACTTACTGGGTTGTTTTCTAGTGATTTTGGTCACTTCCTAATTCCCCAATCAGAGCATTCATTCACTTTTGAAAAATTAAACCTTTGTTACATGATGTCAGTGTTAGTTTTCCCAAACCACACTTTCTTAGCATTATTTTTCCCCAGCTCATTTTGAAAAATTTCTAACCTACAGAAATATGAAAATAGCAGTAGAATGAACACCCATACATCCTCCACTTAGATTCACCAGTTGTTAACATTTTGCCATTTTTGTTTTCTTTCTCTATGACTTTTTCAGACAGCTTTACTGAGATATAACTCATACAATTCACCCATTTAAAGTGTACAATTCAGTGGTTTTTAAAATACTCAGAGTTGTAAGCCATCACCACAATCAATTTTAGAATGTTTTCATCACCCCCAAGAAGAAACCCACACCCATTAGCAGTTATTCCCTCCCCCAACCCCAACTCTAAGCAACGACTATTCTGCTTTCAGTTTATCTATAGGTTTGCTTATTCTGGACATTCCTATAAATGGAATCATATAATAATGTGGTAACTTGTGACTGGCTTCTTTCTTTGTGCCTGACTTAGCATAATATTTTCAAGGTTCATCCATGTTGTAGCACGAATCAGTACTTCATTTATTTTCATTCTTGAATAATATTCTACTATATGGATATACTATATTTATCCATATATGAGTTGTTGAATATTTGGATTGCTTCCACTTTTTGGCTGTTGAATTAATGCTGCTGTGAACATCTGTATACAGGTTTTTGTGTGGGCATGTTTTCATTTCTCTTGGGTGTAAACCTAGGAGTGGAATCGTTGGGTCATATGGTAACTGTTTAACCATTTGAGGAACTGCCACACAGTTCTAAAGTGTCTGCATCATTTTACATTCCTATCAAAAGTGAATGAGAGTTTCAGTTTCTCCACATCCTCATCAAACTTATTTTCATTAAAAAAATACATATTGTAGCCATCCTAGTGAGTGTGAAGTGCTTATCTCTTTGTGATTTTGATTTGTGTTTCCATGGTGGCTAATGATATTCAGCATTTTCTCATGTGCTTGCTGGCCATTTGTGATATCTTCTTTGGAAAATTGTCTATTCAGATCCTTTGCACATTTTTAAATTGGGTTATTTGTGTTTTTATTATTGAGTTGTAAGAGTTACTTACATATTCTAGATACAAGCCCTTAGTCAGATAAATGATTTGCAAAATATTTTCTTCCATTCTTTGGGTCGTCTTTCTACTTTCTTGGTGGTGTTCTGTTTGATTCTTTTTTTTTTTAATTTTTTGTGGTAGAAGATATATAACAAAACATTTGTCATTTCACCTATTTTTACATGTACAATTAAGTGACATAAACTACATTCACCATGTTGTGTGACCATCACCACCATCTGTTTCCATATTTTTTCATCTCTCTTAACAGTAACTCAGTACCCTTTTAGCAGTAAGTCCCATTTCCTCCTCCTGCTACCACTGGTAACCACTAATAAACTTTGTGCATTTGCCTATTTTAGATGTGTCACATAAGTGAGATCATACAATATTTGTCCTTTTGTGACTGACATTTCACTCAGCATGTTTTCAGCGTTCATCCGTGTCATAGCATGCGTCAGAACTTCACTTCTCTTTATAGCTCAGTAGTATTCCATTGTGTATGTACATATGTATGTGTATATATATATATACACACACATACACCACATTTTGTTTATCCATTTGTCTGTTGATGGACATTTACGTTGCTTCCATCTTTTGGGTAGAAGAATTGCTGGATTGTATGGTAATTCTGTGTTTAACTTTTTGAGGAGCTGCCATACTGTTTTCCATAGTGGCTACACCATTTTACAGTCCCACCACCAATGGATGAGGGTTCTAATTTCTCCACATTCTCGTCAGCACTTGTTATTTTCTGTTTTTCTGTGGTTCGAACCCATTAGCTCCTTTGCGGGAGAAAGTTATGGCAGTCTGCTTCTGTAAAGATTACAGCCTTGGAAACCCTATGGGGCAGTTCTCCTCTGTCTTCTAGGGTCACTATGAGTCAGAATCAACTCGATGGCAACAGGTTTTATAATTTCTTTTAGTAATGTTTTGTAGTTTTCAGTGAACAAGTCTTTCATCTTCCTAGTTAAATTTGTTTCTAGGTGTTTATTTGTTTTAGATGTTATTGTAAATAGAACTTTCTCCTTAACTTTTTAGATTGCTCATTGCTAGTGTTTAGAAACCCAGCTGATTCTTTTGTATTAACCTTGTACCCTGCAACTTTGCTGAAATCATTTGTGGATTGTTTGGAATTTTCTGTATACAGGATCATGTCATCTGCAGAAAGAGATAGTTTTATTTCTTCCTTCTTGATTTGGATACCTTTTATTTCTTGCCTAATTGCTCTGACTAGGACTTTCAGTACAGTATTGAATATCATTGTGAGAGTGGGCACCCTTGTCTTGTTTCTGATCTTAAGAGGGAAGTTCTCAGACTTTTTCTATTGAGTATGATGTTAACTGTGGGGTTTTTCTAAATGCCCTTTATCATATTGAGGAATTTGCCTTTTATTCCTAGCTTGTTGAGTATTTTCATCATGAAAGGTGTTGTATTTTGTCAAAAGCATTCTCTGTGTTGATTGAGATGATCATGTGGTATATTACACTGATTTTCTAATGCTGAACAACTCTTGCATTCCTGAGATAAACCCCACTTGGTTATAGTGTATAATCCTTTTAATAATGGATTCAGTTTGCTAGTATTTTGTTGAGGAATTTTGCATCTATATTCATAAGGGATATTGGTGTGTAGTTTTCTCGTGGTGGCTTTATCTGGCTTTGGTATCAGGGTAATGCTGACCTCACAGAATAAGTGAGAAAGTGTTCCCTCCTCTTTTATTTTCTGGAAGAGTTTAAGAAGGATTGGTATCAATTCTTCTTTAAATGTTTGATAGAATTCCCCAGTGAAGCCACCTGGTCCAAGAACTTTTTTTGTGGGGGTAGTTTTTTGACTACTGGTTCTGTCTCTTCACTTGTTATGGGTCTGTTGAGATTTTCTATTTCTTCTTGAGTCAATTTAGATAGTATGTGTTTCTAGAAATTTGTCCATTTCATTTATTGAATTTGTTGACATACAGCTGTTCATAATATTCTCTTAAGATCTTTTTTATTTCTGAAGGGTTGGTAGTAGTAATGTCCCCACTTTCGTTTCCGATTTTAGTTATTTGAACCTTCTCTTTTTTTTCTCTTTGTCAGTCTAGCTAAAGGTTTGTCGATTTTAGTAACCTTTTCAAAGAACTAACTTCTGGTTTCACTGATTCTCTGTGTTGTTTTTCTGTTCTCTATTTCATTTATTTTTGCTCTGATTTTTGTTATGTCCTTCTTTAGGCTTAGTTGGCTTTTCTTTTTCTAGTTCCTCAAGTTGTAAAGTTAGGCTGTTGATTTGAGGTCTTTTTTTTAATGTAAACATGACATTTCATCCCTACAAACGTGAGCATAAATATCATTATCACACTTAAGAAAATGAACATTAATTCAGTGATATCAATTAATACACAGACCATATTTAAGTTTCCCCACTGTTCCAAAAATGTTCTTTATAGCTGTTTGAAAAAAAAGACAAAACATTCAGATCTAGTCGGGGTTCACAGATTACTTTTGGTGGCTATGTCTCTTTAGCCTCTTTTAATATGAAGCAATCTTCCCCACCTCTTTTGTTTTTCATGATAAAAAAAAGCAAAAAACCAAACCCATTGTCGTTGAGTCAGTTCTGACTCATAGCAACCCTATAGGCCAGAGTATACTGACCTTTTATTGAAAATCCAGGCCAGTATTCTTACAGAATGGCCCATAATCTGGATGTGTTTGATTGCTTGCGATTTAGATTCAGGGCAAACAATATTACATAAGTAATGTTGGATCACATCAGGAGCCACATGATGATAGATTATCCCACCATTGGAGATGCTAAGTTTGACCTTGTTTAAGGTGGTGACTGTGAACGATTTCCTTTTAAAAGTACATTTTCCCCTTTGTAACTAATAAGTGCTCTGTGAGGTGATAGAGCCTGTGTGAATATCCTGTTTTCCAGCAGTTTCATGTAATGGTTTTAGCCTCTGTGGATGACCCTTGCCTCAATCTGTTGTTTCACTGGGGATTCCTAGTACTATTCTTTTATTATTATTATTTTTATTATTTGTCTAAAGAAAATAAAACAAGGAGTACAAATCATAGTGCGTGTTGATCTTCAGAAGCAGTTCTGGTTCTAAGTAAGTATACTACTCTTGTAGAAAGTTTAAAATTTTTGTCCACAGTTTTAAGACTTCAGATTGCCCAGGAACAGATTTTTTTTTTTTTTTTTTAATTTTTTTACAATACAAGCAGCAGATTGTAAGGCAATACAGAAATGCCTTTGGAAAAAAGATAAGAATTAGGAAAAGTTATTTTGACTTTCAGATTAGTTCATTATCCCTATATCCCTTTTCTTCTAAAAATACTTGGAACTTGGAAATACTTACTCAAGCCAGTGACGGTTGTGTTACCAACCCAGCCCACATTAACATTTTTTACCTGTAATGTAATGAATGTTAATATGGCCTGGGCTCATAACACAGTCATCACTGGCTTGAGCAAGGATTTCCAAGTTCCAAATAAATAAACAGTTTAAAAATACTTCTAGAAGAAAATGTGTAGATATATTGAACTAATCTGATGCCCAACTACCAGCTGAAAGGTTGGCGATTCCAACCCACCCAGACGCCTGGCAATCTGCTTCCAAAAGGTCACAGTCTTGAAAACCCTGTAGAGCAGTTCTGCTCTGCATACATGGGGTCGCCATGAGTCGGGATCGACTTAATGGCAACAATGATGGCAACCTGTGATGTAATTGCACTAAAGTGTGGTGGTGCCTGAGAGCCGGGACCAGGTAGGACAGGAAGCAGGAAAGAGCAGGATGGCTGTCCACTGCTTTTCGTGTTTGCAGAGCTGCCTCCAGGCTAAGTTTTCAGAACAACAGTCTGGCTGCCATTTTCCGTCTCTCTTAGATCCCCTCTCCTGTATTTTGGGGATCTGTATTCAGGTACAGGGGGTTTTGTGTTGCCCTTGACACTCTGGAGGAGACACTTTACATTTTTTTTAAAGACTGGGCTTCTTTTTGTCTTCACATACTTTTTTTAAAAAACTTTATTATGGAAATTTTCAAACATACACAATAGAAGAACAGTTGATATGCTGAACACTCGTTAATACATTACCCAGTCTCAACAGTGATTAACATTTTCTAATTGTGATTCATCTATTCTCTCAACTTCCTGTTTTCCTGTGGTATTTTAGAGTGAACTCCAGGTGTCTTATCCTTTTAGCCATAAATGCTTCAGTGTGCATCTCTGATAAGGACAGCTTTTTTTTTTTTTTGCAGAATCCCCATGCTGTTATCAATTCTAACACCATAATAATAATTCCTGAATATATGAATCTCCTTGTAGGTAGAATTTTAGTCCATTTAATAGAGCAAAATTTTTAAAAACTCAAGCTGTGTCAGGATAGGAGAAAGGTTTTCTTTGTAAGCAGAACATCCTTTTCTAACTAGGTTCAGATCTTGCGAGCTATTCCTACTTTTCATGCCTTCTTCATCCGCAGTTTTTATATTTTTAAACCTACATGTTCTTTAAATCACGTGCTTTAAAATAGAGTTCTGATTCTTGTTTTCATAGGGAGAAATGGTATCAAAATCACCTAGAGAGTGGTTTCAAACCATAGTCATTTTTTAATGGGAGGAGGGGTATAATTTGAAAACACTCCCTAGGTGATTCTGATGTAAATCGACTGTCTCCACACTGCCTCCTTTGAGACCTGCTGCTGGAAAACCCCACCAGCTCCCAGCCCTCCCCCTCCAAACACCTTCATTGCAGGATGGGCGTGATGGTTGTGATTTGATGACTGGGAGTTGGAGGGTTGGGATAATGATTTATAAAAGTCATATGTTTGAAATTACTAGTTATTCTTTATAATTAGGGGAAAAAATGTTATTTTAGTTATTGAGGGTGGGGGAGGGCTGGGAGTAGAGAAATTACTAGTCTGCATATTATCATGGCTCCTCCCAAGACCTCACATTTTTTTGTTATGAAGATAGTTAAATAAAAATAAACTTGTGGCAAATTAGAGTTTTTATACAGGACTGGTTCCTGCAGTAAAGGAAATAGATTAGTGCCTGATTACTTAGTATTTGCTTAAACATCAGAAAGTAAACACTATTCTGGTTCCTCCAGGGTGTTTCAGTAAAGACCAGGTATACTTGGACGGAATCCTTCAAATCCTGCGATACAGAGAGACCATCGACTTTCATCTGCTGACCGCCCTGGGAAAGGTGAGCGAAACCAGCAGCACATAGTCCCCAAACACAGCAGGTCACAGGTCTGCAGCTTGACTTCATGGTTAAATAAGACTCAGGGTCAAACTGTTTTTAGTTTATTGTTGGAGTAAGTGCCCTTTATGTGATCATAGGAGGGAAGAAAGATGGTTGTAAAATTTCTTTGTGGTTAATAAAAGATAAAGACGGGAGTAAGAAATTTGGGAATATGTGTTTTTATTTTTATACACATCTTTTTTGAAAGTATTCTAAAGTAAGCAGTAGACATAGGATTTCATCCCTAAATACTTCAGCATGTATCTGCTAAGAACAAGGACATTCTCTGACATGACCTTAATACCATTTTCTTATTTAATAAATTTATAATTAATTTAATAATAATATCTAAGATGCAGTCCACTTCAAATTTACCCCAAAATGTCCTTTGTAGCTTTTTTTATGACCCAAGATCCAGTCAAGATTCATGCATTGCATTTAGTTTGTCTTTTTAAATCCATTTTAATCTAGAATAGTCCTGTGCTCTAACATTTTTGTTTTTCATGACACTTTTAATAGTCAGGACAGTATTCATGAGAACTCCTGCAATCTGGATTGATAGATGAGATGGTTTCTCATGATTAGATTCAGGTTAAACTTTTTTTGCAAGAATACTACGTCACATTAGAAAGCACATAATGTGACTTTGTCCCATTATTGGTGATGCTGCGTTTGAACAGCTGGTTAAGTTAGTAACTGCCAGATCTCTCCATTATAAAGGTACCTTTCCCCCATCACATTAATGAGTAATCTGTGGGGTGATACCTGTGAATGCACTGTTCCCCAACGACCTGTCAAGAAATGATTTTAACATCTATTCATGATCTCTGCCTGATATCAAGTATTACACTAAAACCCATTGCTGTCAAGTCAATTCTGAATCATAGCAACCCTATAGGACAGAGTAGTAGAATTGCCCCATAGGGTTTCCAAGGAGTGGCTAGTGGATTCCAACTGCTGACCTTTTGGTTAGCAGCCTGAGCTCTTAACCATTGCACCACCAGGGCCCCAAGTATTGCACTAATGGTACCAAAATAGAGATTTTCTTATTCTATTATTTCTTCTATCACTCCCCTCCTCCCCTGTTTGTAGTACCACTATAGATTTGTTCTTTTTTATTCAACCCTTGAAAGCCTGCCCCCGCCCCTTTTTTTAAAACACTTCTTCATGTGTTCTGGCATACTGAAATGTTTGGGGCTTATACTTTCCCTGCCAAATCTGAGATCAATCATTTCTCCAAGGAATCCTTGATTCTTTTTAGTAGGAAATGGTATTTAGAAAACAAGATCTGAGCACTGGGGATGCTTATTGCTACCCTACACCATTGCTTCTAGACCTTTTCAGTGAGCAAACCATATATATTTGTTTTAAATCAAACAGGCATTTCAGTTGAAATGTAGCACCACAAGGTTCTTTCACATCTCCCATCCCATTCCATGTTTATATCTCCCTTCTTCTAAAATGAGAACCTTGTTTCCCAAAAATACCAATACATTTACTCATTCTCTCCTATAATAAACTCAGAATGGTTTAAGAATTACTAAAACATAACCAGTATCAGTAAATATTTGGTAAGGTAGGAGGGTCAGTGAAAACAAGGAAACCTCTCATTAACATGGATTGACACAGTAGCCACAACAGTGGACTCAAACATACCAATGACCATGAAGATGGCACAGAACCAGGCAGTGTCCATTCCTTTATATATAAGGTCGCCGTGAGTCAAAGCTGACTCAGTGGCAACTAACAGCAACAGCATGTATTTATTTACTACCTCATAAAATACAGATGGAATGCAGACATGATTTATGTTCTTGTTCTTAAAGCCTCCCTCTATACCAGTAACAATATTAGATGACAGTAGGAGTGTTTAAACTCAACCATGTTTTGGAATTTAAAGATACAGAGGTAACCTATAGGACTTCTAAAAAGTTCCATCACTAAACCTCATATAAATACCTCGGAAAGATTGGTTTCTTACACAGGAGAATGAAAGAGATATGAAATTAAAAAAAAACACTTAAAATTCAAAATAAAAGCAAAAGAATTTAACACAAATCATTATCTTTCTCAAATGAAATAGAAACGGGAATCCAATGTATAATTGTGCTAATTTTCCTAACTTGATAATATGGAATTTATAGCCTAGCTATTTTCTCGGTTTTATTTAGTCAGGAGATTTGTTGAGGTTTAGATTCTCCCTATTACACTTGCATATATATTTAGTTGTTTCTAGACAGAGTAGGTACAAGATAGAATTTTAAGTCAGATGTTGACTTTTGATCCTTTTTTATATGGTCATGTTGTGAGGAGTCAAGTAAATACATCCTTATTTAATAAAGAAAGTAAGCCACTGATTTTTGTTCTTTTTGCAGATGTTAAAGTAATTTGGCAAACAAGTGTGTGCATTTAAAGTTTCATTTAAGATCCATGGGAGAGATTCCTCTTCAAAATGTACCTTGTAGTTAAGTTTTAAAATTAACCCATCTTCTGCTCTTTTAGGTTTCTTATGAAGATGTAGATCGCTTAAAAGGACTGGCAGTTACTGAAAACATGAGGGTCCCTCACTTCCTGCAGGACCATGGCCGATACATGGAACACTTAGAGAAGATCATGGAAGTTAATGAACTGACCGACAGGGAACTGCGAGATCTTATATATTAGTTTGCATTATTGCGCACATAGCTAAGCTACGCCTGTATGTATATTACCAGTTAGGTGCAGTTAGCACCAGCAGATTTATAAAAGAAGAATGATAGTTTACTTGAGTTTTTTGAAGAATGGCCTGCAGTATTCAGCTGAATTTGTAGGCTTTTAGTACAAGCCTTAAATTATTTCCCTAAAATGTTTCTGTGGGCTGCAGGGGAATGTTACTCCTATTTTCTTCTGAATCCTAAGAGTCAGAAGAAAATCCTGCTGATGAGTGTTTTGAAGACTCTTGGTTGAACTGAGCGATAAACATCTCTTTGAGCACCAAGACCAGCTCGGACTGGAGACTGACTGAATTCCAAACAGTGTCTTTATACCCCAAGGCTATAATTTATTTGATAAATAATATAATTATTCTCCTTTGAAAAATTAGTTTTATTATGCCCCCCAGAGTTAGCTATATCTAAGATTTCTTATCTCTTGCATATGTAACGGAATGTTAAAGGAAGTGGGAAAGCAATTTGAAAAGTTTTCAATTTGAAAAGTTTTCATTAAGTGCTTTATTTTACACATTGTTTCACCTTATCTGCTTCTAGGAACTAATAAGAGAACTGCCTCATTTTGTCTAGTTATCTCTTAACTCTATTTTAATTTTCTGAAACATTGTGCCCCCTAAATTCAGCCGAGTTTTAGGTTCTTTCCGTTTGCATTCCTTTATATAAATGATAAGTACAAGTTTGAGACATGTTTAGCTATACATATTACAATAGTTGGAAGTGAGTTACGTTTTTATTAAATGGAATATGTAATAAGCAGGTGACAAATAGACTGATCTAGTTTAAATGTAGGAGCTGGATAGTGATTGGGCATTGCCTACAGAAAACTTGACCATGCCCTAAAACATGGAATTTCTGGGCGATGCCATTTGATAAGCTGGCCTTGTGATAATGGCTCAGTGTATTTTATCAAAACCTTTGACTTCTTCAACCCAGTAATGACACAGTTTGAATTTCAGCAATGAGAGTTTTGTTTTGCTGTATTATTTCCCTTGCTCAAAGCTTATACACCTTGCTTTATAATTTATTAGTTCATGCCCAAGTTACTCCCTAAGTAGAATCAGATACTTAAGTTGGTTCCCTTTCAGACCTCCAGAGTGTATTCTACAGTACTGTTGGATATCTTTAACTAGAATTAGGAACAGCAAAAAATAAATAAATAAATAAAGCTCAACATATTTGTAGTGGTAACGGCTCACTATGGGCCGTTACTCCACTTGCATCTCCCAGGTTATACTGAAGTGCACATCTGCCCTTTCACAGCAACAGCTAGAGTGACTTGACTTCTTAATACTTGGGAGCGAATGGTTCTTCAACCAGCTTACTTAAATGATCAGAAAGAATACTGCTGTTAACACCCCAGTCAAGATTGCTACTGTAATTGTACCAAAAGCTCTCTGAGAGTTTATCTTTACCTCAATTCAGGCTAAAATATGGTGCTAAAACCAGCAGGTACATAGCTGCAAAGCCTAGTCCATGTTCATGCTAGAAAATGATTTTAGGAAATCTCTTGCAGGTTAGGTTATGTCATTTTTCTCCTTCACATGTCTAGAAGGGCTTGCCTCAAAGAAGGAGGTTGCAGCAAATAGGATATACGCTAACTGGCACCTAGGGGTTCTTGCAAAACCACACATCTCACTGTTGGCATAGAGGGCCAGGCCCTTTCGCACCAGAGTGCTGAAAGGCCCCACACCTGTCCTGTGAGTGTGTCCTGCAGACCTGCGGGCAGGGCTGTGGGCGGAGCGCGCCAGCACTAGCCAGACCCAGCGCTCCTCTCCTTGGAGCAGTCAGGTCGTTTCAGCTTTGTGTTGTGTTTTCAAACTTTATCTTAAAAAGGTGTTCCTAGGTTTTTAAGTATGCATTGTGAAGACAATATTTTATTAACTGGAATTGAAATATAGACAGAAATGGCAATACTTAAATGTCCTGTGATTTAAGCCTAAATGGTTGTAAATTCAACATTTATAGGCAGTAACGTTGCTAATCTAATGTTCTGGTTTAAATATAAAGGAAAATCACAGCAGCCTTAATTTCCTATTGGTAGGATTAACTGCAGTGGTTCTAGGCCCTACATTTTAAAACAAATGGCTATCCTCTCAATCTGGTTTGGAAAAGGAAAAGTTTACTTGCCTTAATGCTTTGGTATAAAGACAAAACATGAGCCTCTCTCCAGGAAAAAAGACTTTAAGTCACATTGATTGTCTTAAGATATTTTCAAAGTTAGCAGTGAACCAAAAATAGTTTCAGATTAGGAGAAATTAGCTTAAAGAGTTCTAAGCTTTAAAAGTTGGGACTGAAGATTAGATTAATGTTTATGTAGGAACGTCACTGAACTCCCTGTCACGTTATACTGTACATCTCAAATTCTCTTTCCTGAAATAGCGTTGTGGTCAGTTTTGTTCCCTAAAGTGAAAGTTTTCATAAGTTTAAAATTATAGCAACAGTACGTAGGAGGAATAGTTGAAGATCGTATCAGCTTTAGTTGTAATAGTTATTTGCTGTAGGCATAGGGTCGATATGAGTCGGAATCTACTCGACAATAGGTTTTGTTTTGTTTTGTTTTTAATGATTATGATTTCATCAGTTTTCTCCACTATAATTCTAACATACAAAACCCACTGCCGTTGAGTCGATTGCAGCTCACAGTGACCCTATCAAGTCTTTGTTATCGACTCCATCAAGTCTTCATTTCTTTATATTTTCATCTTTGTAAAAGTGTTTAAAATTTGTATTGTTTGTTTTGTATATCTTTGGGTATTTTAAACTGTGTGTAGGTATAATAATAAATAGCACCGAGGTTCTCAAAGTGTGTGGATTATTATGCATGTAAACTTCTGTTCTTTGAAATCCTAATTATATTTTTGTGGTGGTGTTTCTTCCTTTCTGTTGTATGGTAATTACTGAAAGAATCATTGGTCATGTTTGTCTTCTGGTGTCCTTATTTACAGAGAAATATTTGCCATGTTCCACCTTTCCCCTAATTAGTTCAGCTGATACTCTTCTGAGGAGGTAGCAAGAAAAGACAGGAGGAAGGGACAACTGTATTTTAATTTCACTCCCGTATAGGGTCTCTGTGAGTTGGAATCAACTCAACAGCAGTGGGTTTGGTTTAGTTTTTTATACATGCAAGAAGGAGCCCTGGTGGTGCAGTGGTTAAGCACTTGGCTGCTAACCAAAAGGTCTGTGGTTTGAACCCACCAGCCACTCCATGGGAGAAAGATGTGGCAGTCTGCTTCCGAAAATATCACAGCCTTAGAAACCCTATGGGGCAGTTCTGTGTCCTCAAGGGTCACTGTCAGAATCGACTGGAAGGCAGCAGGTTTGGTTTATACATGCAGTAAACCTACAGAGAAACAATTTGAGGAGCGGGATCTGTGCTGAGTGCCCAAGATCCTCCAAAGAAGAGAAGAATTGTTAACAGTCCAGTGAGGGAGAGAGGCACAGATGCAGGTTACAGCATAGCCAGTCCCATGCCCAAAAATGCTACCAAAAAGCAGCATTGAGCAAGCAGATCCAAAAGAGCGTCTACTGTAGTCGGTGAGCACACCCCGTGTCTGAAGCAAAGGATGGAGGAGTGGTCGGTGTTCACTGTGAGGATTGCTGTTTGTAAGGTTTGTGTTTGGAGATTCAGCAGCTTCCTAGGGGAAGGAGTCGGCCACTACTGCAGCTGCTTGGGTTATGAGAGCACTGGAGGTAGATGGATGCCTTGGTACCTCCGCCGGATGCCCAGAGGAGCCCACACTTTTTCCAGTAAGAAGATGTGAGCAACTGAGCCGGGACAGAAAGGAGAGCGCAGGTGCCCTCTCCCTTCGGGGCAAGTAACTGGTCTGACTTAAACTTCCATCTGTGTATAGGAAAGCCCTGTCAGCTGGCTATGATTCTATCCATTTTATTTACTATAACCCCAGTGTCTAAAGGGACTGATGCCTTGAAACTGATGCCAGGCTGTGAAATGCCAAAACGTGTCAGCTCACTATGGAAGATCTTTAAGAATTAGGTGGGATTTCAGTGGGGGATGGTTTCAAGAGATTGTGGAACTCTATAGGTAATTTATTTTTAAAAATTGGGAATGAGATCAAACCTGAAAAAATCCTGATGTGATATATACCAGAGTTGTTAATAGCAATTAATTCTTGGTGACCTAGTGTTTGCACATCCCAAATTTAGATAAACCAGGTATTTTCTCTTGCTTTTTTATTTATTGTGACAAGATAAATGTAACGAATCACTTGCTTTTTCAACCTTCTTCACATGTACAAATTCAGCGACATTATATGTTTGTCATGTTCTTCAACCATTACTGTTTCCAAATTTTCCAACTACCCCTAATAGAAGCTTAGTGTCCCCCAAGCAGTGAATCCCCTCTTCCCTGCTCTCCCACCAGCCGCTGGTAACCACTTGCCTAGCCTAGATATTTAAGTGGAATCATGCAGTATTTGTCCCTTTGTGACTAACATGTTTCACTCCGCATAGTGTTTTCAAGGTTCATCCATATTATTCCATTGTGTGTATATACCACGTTTTCTTCATCCATCTCCTGATGGACATTTAGGCTGTTAGAACCTTTTGGCTATTGTGAATAATATTGCACTGAACACTGGTGTTTCTCTTGTCTTTTAAAAATAACTTCTATTCATTTTACTTTAGAGCACTTTCCTGTTAATTACTGAATATCTCTGAGGAAATTAAGTAGCTTGGATCCTACAGGTAAACTGACCCTCCTGGATTTAGCAGTACAGTAATTATTTTTTGTAATTGGTTCATGTTGAAAGATCCAATTCTCTCTAGGTTGGGAGCAATGGTGAGTTATTTGGAATGCTCTAGTTAGCAATGGTTAAGTGCTCAGCTGCTAATGGAAAGATGGGCAGTTCGAACCCACCAGCCGCTCCTCGAGAGAAAAGACCTAGCCATCTGCTCCCATAAAGATTTCAGCCTAGTAGATAAGCCTATGGGGCATTTCTACTCTGTACTGTAAGGTTGCTGTGAGTCAGAATCGATTCAACAGCACACAGCAGTCAGCAGTTGGATATCAATAAGCAGAGAACAGCTTGAAGGACCCTCAGGCAGTCTAAGCACCAGCGTCCGAGGTCTTGAGTTTATTTCTGAGTGCCATTCCACAATTCTCCACTAGAGGGACCACTAGTTCCTTTTTTCCCCCCTTGTCTTCCACTCTTCTCACTTTCCGTATTTTATTTTTGGCTGGAGGCCCTCTAAATATTTAATCGTGCTGGTTGGCCCTTGGAGCTGAATCCCAACCTAAACTGATTTCAAGCAA